CCCCTTTCCCCCGACCCCTTCCCGTCGCTCTCGGCACTACTAATCACTTGCCACCCGTTGTTCTATAAATTACTTCCAGTCTAGCGGGCATTCCGAGCGCTATAGCGGCATAGCCCGTTCACATATCACTGGGTCGAAGGGAAGGCACCCGATAACAGCTGATAACGCGCGGAGAGCGAAGCAGGAGACCAAACGGTCCGCTCAGGGAGAGAACCGAACACACCAGGAAAAAGGGTATAGTTCGGGGAATACGTGCGGTGTTGTGGCAAAGCTTTCAAACTGATCGACGCATTGATAGCGCACACGGAGAGCCAAACAGGAAAAACAGACGAAAAAACAAAAATTCAAAATAGTTCAAACCTACGGTCAGTCACGATGCCGCTAAAAAAAGAAACCAATAAAATGAGATCATAGAGGGGTAGGAGGAGGGAGTAAGAGAGAGAGGGGAGGGGAGGGGGACAGCCGGTTTAGACTGGTGGCACCGCATCCGCCGCACAGGCTCAAATAATCGGAAGAGAATGACTCTCGGGCGGACAGTGCCGGTAAAGTTTGGAGCGACTTGCATTAGGAAACAATCACTTTCAGATCAGGCGGCTCACTCCGAGCGGGAAGCGGCAGGGGTTGTTGCTGGTGTGGCTGGCAGCCGGTGCGGCCCCCACCACCGCGCGCCTCCTCTTCCATTCCTCCCATTGCCCCTCTTTTTCTCCGTCCTCCTTCCGATCAAGAAACGAAAAGAACTATGCCACCCACGAAGTAGTGGAGGAGGAGGGAGGAGGGAGGAGGGAGGAGGAGGAGGAGGAGGAGGGGGGAGGGTGGGGGGTTGGCTCGCGCCACCCTCCCCGCCCCGAACCTCTCGCGGCAATCTCGCCGAATCAGACTCCTCAGGTCCACGAAACTTGCCCCTCTCTCCCTCGCCAGCCAACCTGCCTCGCCGCGGCTCCAGCTGGCCCCAGCCCCGGCCGCCCAGGGGGGCTGAGCCGCTGCACCGGTCGCCAAGACGCTCCCAACTAGAAAACGAGCTGCCAAGGGTGTCGACCACTAACCCCTCAACTCCCTGCCGCCGCTCCTCGACCACACCAACCTCGCCGTTCGCACACATTATCGGTATCCGATATCGTCACCGCTGCCCCCCCCCCCTCGTCGCTCACCACAAGAAACACGCTCCCGACTTAATTACGGGACCAGGCCTCTGTCTCTGATAAGGCCGCGACGGCTTTCTTCATTCCGACAAACTACACTACTCTCTCTCTCTCTCTCTCTCTCTCTCTCTCTCTCTCTCCCTCCTCAAAGCATCCCGGCGTTCTTCACCGCCTCCTTCCTGGCTCCGGCCTGGTCGAGACTCTCCTCCACGGCTCTGCTCGATATTCACTGAGGATTCCACAGGTCGCGGAATTCGAGAATTCGGCGGTACACGCAGATTACGCCAACTTTGGCAAAGTTCCCGGGCGCCCCGCCGCCGCCGGCAGCTCGGGCCGCCCCGCGCCGCGCCGCCGCCACCGCCCTGCCGCCCGCGGGCGTCACCTTATTTTCAAGGCCGCAGCAATCCGCCAGTCGAAGCCATATTTAACGCCGGCTATGGCGCTGGCGCCACTATGACC